TGAAAATACAATTTTTGAGTGGTAGCGAGTTTGAATCGGACGATGGATTGTCTGCAAAGAAACAGGTTAAAGTTAAAAATATTGTCAAAAGAGTTAGGAACGTCATTGAACGTGATGTGTGTTTCGATGTTGCAGAAATAATAAAGTTGCATGGTAAATCAAAGAATTTGAAAACAATAACATTCTAATTCAAGCTATATTTGTACAATTGTTAGCAAACCAGGTGTTAAGTATTGTGGATATGTGTTTTGAATGGAGAAGACGCAACAAACCGTGTTTGAAATAACAAAAATGTGTATACTTTTGACAAACTTTCTCAGCGTTGTTTTTGACGTTACAATATTGGTTAACCGTGCTCCGTGGTAACAAAACATGTTGCTTTTAATTTTGGCTAACGTGAGTTCTGTTTAATCAAATGGAATGAAACTTCACACTTCAACAAAATAAATGTTTATGTTAACGAAAATGTGTTGATCTATAATCTTGTAATAATCATATGACGATGAGAAGCATTGCCTACGTATTTTTTGAATGACCCTCGTACATTACATGTACATGTATATATAGTATAGCGGGTTTTCTTGGCAGGTTTAAAATTTGGCGTTTTGCCTGCTCAAAGGTATGTCAATAATTTTGGCAGAAACAAGATTTCAGCTCTTTGCAAATGAACACTAATTAAGAGGAGTACTGGCCATTTTTGTATTAGAATTTTAGCGGGCTACCATCAAGACGCTAAAATTAGCACCCTGATAAAATAACCAGCTATAGGGTACTGCATGAAAAAAGAATGAAGACTATATTTTTTTAATATTACTAAAACAGTTAACATAAACCAGAAATGGCTGATGGGTCTGTAGCTCTACTGTCTACATATTAAAAAAGAAAAGGCAGCAATAAACAGATGCACCTTAGTGTAGTCCACTTATGCTACATTATATTGATGTCAAACTTAACTGTAGGAGGAGTAGTGTTTTGAAAGTATTTCTAAGAAATTTCTATTTTTAGCAACCATGGTAACACCATTCATTGAAAACAAAAACCAATGCACTAAATAGTGTACCTTATATCAAGTCTTCAGTTCTTGTGTGCCATTCAAGTTATAGTGAAATTAGACAATAATAACTACTTGTATGCCAAATTTTATTGAAATCAGACCAAATCTATAGAAGGAGTAGCATTTAAAGGAATTTCGCAGAAACTTCTATTTTTAGTAGCTATGGCAACACCATTCATTGATATAAAAAAACCCAATGTATTAAATTATATATCTTAGAGTAATCTACTTGCATGTAAAGTTATTTTAAAATAAGACCCAAATTGTTGGGAGTAGCGTTTTAATGGAATTTTACAGAAATTTCTATTTTTAGTAACTATGGCAACATCGTTCATCAAAAAAAAAAAGCACTAAATTACGTACCTTTGTACAGTCCACTTCTATGCCAAGTTATATATATTGAAATCAAACCAAAACTGGGAGTACACGTAGTAGCATTTTTAAAATTGTTTCAGACAGCTAGACAGATGGACGGAAGACAGTCACCTTACTATCACATAAACGTACACTTCTGGTCTCTGACCAGTAGAGCTAAAACTACATGTTTGTGAAACACGAATGACCCTATCCCAACCCCAGACAAGGGGTAATCAAAAAATCTCATTTTAACTTTCAGTTCAGATGAGTTGAAAACTAAATTCTGACTTGATAATTCTAAATGGTGAATGCGAGATGCATCCTTGCTCCATCTTAGAGCCACTGATCAATGTTCTCAGTTTTCCACTTCTATGAAGCTTCCTCTTTAGCCCTTTCTATTCTCCACCTCTTAAGAACTTCCTTTTCTTTTGATCTTAAATCTTTCCTGCGTTTTGCTGCCCATTCCTACAGAATTTCCTCTTCGGGATTTCCTACTAAGACGGCCATTTCTGTTTTTTCATTTCAATATCTGCAGCTACTTCATACTTTTACCATGAAGGGTAATAAACCTGAAAAGGGGGGGGGGGAATAAGTAATCAATCATAATTTGAGAAGATCATCATTTTCTTGAAATGACAAGATCAAAATCATGTTCACAAGTCAAAATATTAAAGGGTGCTACGTGGGTTTTTTGTTTTATGTGAAAAATCTACATTAGAGGAACTGCCTGCAATGTACATACACAGCCTCTGGAGAGTCTGAATGCACACCAACATTTTATATTATAGATCTTTAAGACATCCCTATTAAATTATGGTTTCGGCATTGAAAGGCCGATATTAGCTCACTTAGTCCTGACCTCTGTTTCAGGAAGTTGGAATTACCAAGATTAAAGTTGGAATTACCAATATAAATGTTGGAATTACCAAGATTAAAGTTGGAATTACCAAAATAAAGTTTGAATTTCCAACTTTAAAAAAATATTGCATGGCACTCATACGCTTCCATACAATTGGGGGGGGGGTCTATTCAATTTTTTGTATGGTGATTGGTAGTGTCCTGTTGAGGTTATGAAGGATATGGAGATAACGAACAGTATTCAATACAAAGTTCATAAAACAATACAAAATAGGAGCTGAACAAACACTGACCTCTGAAAACATTAGATCGGATGCCATGGAGGAGTGAGCATCCCCTGCGGACCGGTCACACCCACCGTGTGCTCATTATCATGATCGGGAAATAATGGAAAAATCCGTCGTCAATTCAGTGTATAAATAATGGAGTACTAATTAGTATGAAAAATGTCGGTCAGCATGTCATTGTATCGACCATAAAACTTACGAAATTATGACTTTAAATGAGACTGCTTATATTCTTGTTTCATCAACTTAACTGTTTGTCAATAATTTACCTCTTTTTGGGAATTGTTCTTGCATACCGAATCAACTGAGATATATAAACTCAGTATGAAGGTGATGAAGGTATATTGCTGCATAAGTAGGTGAAGTTGACAATACAAAAGTTAAAGTCATCACGTTTATCATACAGCTTGGTTGTTAGATTACCATAAACATCTTTTTCAAGTCATTTCTTTTGGATGTAGATTTGTGTTGTCATATTTGGGGCCTATTTTGAGTGGTAAAAATTGGTTGTGTCCTACTGGGGGGTCTCTCTTTTGGGTGTTGATTGGTGTTGTCCTATTTTGGATGGTGATTGTACGTGTTTTACTGGGAGTCTATACTGTAAATGTATTGTATTTGGCATGTACGATATTTGGCAGAAATGGAATTTTCAACAAGTTCGCATAGATTTGAGTTAGTTCTTTTTGAATGTGCATTAAATGAACCTTTATACACAAAGCATTTAGCAATGTACTTGATTTAGTGGAGGCTGCTTTCCGCGAAAGGCACTAAAAAGAATACACAGCCAATATTAATGTAATACTTTTACAGTATCTTGGATGGTGATTTAGGTGTGTTCTACTGTCTTTCTTTCGGACCGTCATTGGTTGTGTCCTATTGGGGTTATTTCTTTTGGATGTTGATTGGTTGTGTCCTATTGGGGGTCTTTCTTTGGATGGTAATTGGTTGTGTCCTATTGGGGTTATTTCTTTTGGATGGTAATTGGTTGTGTTCTATTGGGGTTATTTCTTTTGGATGGTCATTGGTTGTGTCCTATTGGGGTTATTTCTTTTGGATGTTGATTGGTGGGGTCCTATTGGGGTTATTTCCTTTGGATGGTCATTGGTTGTGTCCTATTGGGGGTCCTTTCTTTTGGATGTTGATTGACGGGGTCCTATTGGGGTTATTTCCTTTGGATGGTCATTGGTTGTGTCCTATTTGGGGTCTTTCTTTTGGATGGTGATTGGTTGTGTCCTATTGGGTTTTTTTTTTGGATGGCAATTGGTTGTGTCCTATTGGGTTTTTTTCGATGGTAATTGGTTGTGTCCTATTGGAGTTATTTCTTTTGGATGGTGATTGGTTGTGTAGTATTGGGATTATTTCTTTTGGATGGTGATTGGTTGTGTCCTATTGGGGTTATTTCTTTTGGATGGTGACTGGTTGTGTCCTGTTGGGATTATTTCTTTTGGATGGTGATTGGTTGTGTCCTATTGGGGTTATTTCTTTTGGATGGTGATTGGTTGTGTCCTATTGTGATTATTTCTTTTGGATGGTGATTGGTTGTGTCCTATTGGGGTTATTTTTTGGATGGTGATTGGTTGTGTCCTATTGGGGTTATTTCTTTTGGATGGTGATTGGTTGTGTCCTATTGGGGTTATTTCTTTTGGATGGTGATTGATTGTGTCCTATTGGGATTATTTCTTTTGGATGGTGATTGGTTGTGTCCTATTGGGGGCCTTTATTTTGGATGGTGATTGGCGGTGTTGGGGGTCTTTCTTTTGAATGGCGATTGGTGTTGTCCTATTGGGGTCATTTCTTTTGGATGGTAATTGGTTGTGTCCTATTGGGGTTATTTCTTTTGGATGTTGATTGGTGGGGTCCTATTGGGGTTATTTCTTTTGGATAGTGAATACCCTTGGATTCAAAACCCTAGTAAGAATGTGTCTTTGGATTTTTTTTTCTTGAGCAGCTCTTTCATAGTTTAATAATGAGTTGAGAATGTAAAATATGGGAAAATATGTCCATCATAACAGGTGTTTGTAGAAAAAAAAACCGTATTTTGATCCCTAATCATTAGCAAAACACATGATTTGCAGAACTCCTTTTCCCATTTTTGCAGTCACCAAACGAATTTTTGAAATATGGGCTTTTCTGGCCCAGTGTTTCTCAAGAGGAAAATTTTTATCCCATTCTTCCATTCTATTTTTTTTCTTTTCTTGATAATTCCCCTTACGAGGGTTTTTTTAAATTAATATTCTCCAAGATCCATCAACTGACAAAGTTGTATGATTCTTTTAGATATAGCCTCAAATAAATGCCCATTTTGAAGAAATGTAGCGATAATGAATTGTATTTTTTCACAAATTAGCATTAATTTGACCTCCCAACTTTTTAACAGATTAGCTCAATAGCAGAAAGTATACAACATAGTTTAAATGAATATTTGGTCTATTAATTATTTCATTCTATGCATTTAATTATTGCTAAATATGAAATACATACACTATATACCGTATAGCGGGTTTTCTTGGTGGGTTAAAAATTTGGCGTTTGCCTGCTCAAAGATAAGCCATTAATTTTGGCATAATTTATTTTAATGGACACAGAGTTTCAGCTGTTTGCAGATGAACACTAAGAAGAGTACTGACTATTTTAGCAATTACAATTTTAGCTGGCTACCATCAAGACGCTATAATTAGCACCCCACTAAAATAACCCGCTAAACTGTACTACACGAAAAAAGACTGAAGACTATAATATTTTTTTCATACTGTAGATCACTCAATTTTCGCAACACCTTATTTTCACGAGATAGTCATTGACTCTTGATTAGCGAGAAAAATTTTTCACGAATTGTTGTTATTGCTCTATATAATCTTAAGAAATGCTATTATACGCCAGAATTAAATTTTCGCGAGCACACTGTGTCGCGTAATTACTCGAAAATAAAGTTCTCGAGAATAAAGAGTGATTCACAGTATTACTATATTCTGTTCAAATAAAAGATAGAACAGTGAACATAAACATGAAATCTCTGATGAGTCTGTAGCTTTACTGGTCTACAAAAGAAAAGGCAGCATTAAATAGAATTATGCACCTTAATGTAGTCTACTCATATGCCAATTTATATTGATGTCAAACCAAAACTGTAGGAGGAGGAGTGTTTTGAAAGTATTTCTAAGAAATTCCTATTTTTAGTAACCATGGTAACACCATTTACTGAAAACAAAAAAACCAATGCACTAAATAATGAACCTTCATAAAGTCGACTTGTATGCCATTAAGTTACAGTGAAATCGGAAAATAATTGTGGGTGGAGTAGCGTTTCAAAAGATTTCAAGAGAAATTTCTATTCTTAGTTATCATGGCAATAAGGTTAAAACAAATCAAAAACTGATGCATTAAATTATGTACCTTAGTGTTGTCTACTTGTATGCCAAGTTTTATTGAAATCAGATCAAAACTGTAGGAGGAGAAGCATTTTAAAAGTATTTCACAGAAACTTTTATTTTTAGTAGCCATGGCAACACCACTCTTTCATCGATATAAAAAAAACCAATTCATTAAATTATATATCTTAGAGTAATCTACTTGCATGTAAAATTATATTGAAATAAGACCCAAACTGTAGGAGTAGCATTTTATTGAAATTTTACAGAAATTACTATTTTTAGTAACTATGGCAACATTGTTCATCAAAAACAAAAAAAAGCAATGCACTAAATAATGAACCTTTGACAGTACAGTCTACTTCTATGCCAGGTTATATTGAAATCAAACCAAAACTGGGAGTACATGTAATAGCATTTTGAAAAATTGTTCACAGACAGACAGACAGCTGGACTGACGGAAGAAAGACACCTTACTATCACATAAACACTTCTGGTCTCTGACCAGTAGAGCTAAAACTACATGTTTGTGAAACACGAATGACCCTATCCCAACCCCAGACAAGGGGTAATCAAAAAATCTCAGTTTAACTTTCAGCTCAGATGAGTTGAAAACTAAATTCTGACTTGATAATTCTATATGGTGAATGTGAGATGCATCTTTGCTCCATCTTAGAGCCACTGATCAATGTTCTCAGTTTTCCACTTCTATGAAGCTTCCTCTTTTGCCCTTTCCATTCTCCACCTCTTAAGAACTTCTTTTCTTTTGATCTTAAATCTTTCCTGTGTTTTGCTGCCCATTCCTACAGAATTTCCTCTTCGGGATTTCCTTATTAAGACGGCTATTTCTGTTTTTTCATTTCAATATCTGCAGCTACTTCATACTTTTACCATGAAGAGTAATAAACCTGAAAAGGGGGGCAAAAATAATTAATCAATCATAATTTGAGAAGATCATCATTTTCTTGAAATGACAAGATCAAAATCATGTTCACAAGTCAAAATATTAAAGGGTGCTAGGTGGGTTTTTTGTTTTATGTGAAAAATCTACAATAGAGGAACTCTTCCATTTATATTAAGTAATGCCTACACTGCCAGCAATGTACATACACAGCCTCTGGAGAATCGGACATCTTGATATTTTTATTGACCACCTCAGAATACAGAAACAGTTAGCGTTACTATTGGATTGTTTGGCAAAATTCTTGCTCTAATTTTAACACATGATTAGTACTACCTTGTAGAAATAAGCATATGATAGAATCATATTTATGAAAATCTTTTGTGTCTTTGGATATTAAGGAGGAATGCTACAACAACATTTTATTTCATAGATCTTTAAGACATCCCTATTAAATTATGGTTTCGGGATTGAAAGGCTGATATTAGCTCACTTACTCCTGACATCCGTTTCAGGATTTTGATTGGGTGTTAGGAGGGCTCCACTTACCTGTAAAGCAACGTTGTCCTTTACTTTGTGAGAAGTTATTTCCCTTTGTTATTCATCTATTGATAATTATGTCGATAATCTAGTTAAATAAAACATAAAATTTTAATTGATGGTTTTACTGGAGACTACAGTTCATTTTCTTGGATGGATCCTTTGAAGCTTCTATTAAAAGTCCAACACTTTGACAGATTGTTATATTATTTGCATGTTTCAATTTTTAGGTCACCTGAGTAAACTCAGGTGACCTATTGCTATCTGTTTTTGTCCGTCGTCGTCCGTCGTCTGTCGTCCGTCGTGCTTCGTGCGTTAACATTTAAACATTTTCAGTTTCTTCTCTGAAACCGCTGAACCAATTTCAACCAATTTTGGCATATAGCATCTATGCGTGAAGGGGAACAAAAATTGTGAATTTCGTGGTCCCTGCCCCCCTGGGGCCTGGGGGTGGGGCAAAAACCACTAAAATTAGTGCAATCTTTAAAAATCTTCTTCTTTACTCCTGGACATCAAACAGTCAAACTGTTGGTATGATTGTAATCAGCATTAAGTCCTCTACCAAAATTGTGAAATTCATGGCCCCAGGGTCAGGGGTTCTGGTGTTAGGGCGGGGCTCTATTGATTATATAGTGAAAATGCATTAAATCTTTGAAAATCTTCTTCTCTGCTCCTGGGTATTAAATAAACTTGTTAAGTTCATAGTTATGATGAGCAAGAGTGCCTCTACCAGAATTGTGAATTTTATGGCCCAGGGTCAGGGGCTATGGTGTTAGGGCGGGGCTCTATTGATTATATAGTGAAAATGCATTAAATCTTTGAAAATCTTCTTCTCTGTTCCTGAGTATTAAATAAACTAACTAAGTACATAGTTATGATGAGCAAGAGTGACTCTACATAAATTGTGAAATTCATGGCCCCAGGGTCAGGGGTTCTGGTGTTAGGGCGGGGCTCTATTGATTATACAGTAAAATGCATTAAATCTTTGAAAATCTTCTTCTCTGCTCCTGGGTATTAAATAAACTAACTAAGTACATAGTTATGATGAGCAAGAGTGTCTCTACCAAAATTGTGAAATTCATGGCCCCAGGGTCAGGGGTTCTAGTGTTAGGGCGTGGCTCTATTGATAATATAGTGAAAATGCATTAAATCTTTGAAAATCTTCTTCTCTGCTCCTAGGTATTAAATAAACTAACTAAGTACATAGTTATTATGAGCAAGAGTGCCTCTACCAAAATTATGGATTTTATGGCCCCAGGGTCAGGGGTTCTGGTGTTAGGGCGTGACTCTGTTGATTATATAGTGAAAATACATTAAATCTTTGAAAATCTTCTTCTCTGCTCCTAGGTATTAAATAAACTTATTAAGTTCATAGTTATGATGAGCAAGAGTGCCTCTACCAAAATTGTGAATTTTATTGCCCCAGGGTCAGGGGTTCTGGTGTTAGGGCGTGACTCTATTGATTATATAGTGAAAATACATTAAATCTTTGAAAATCTTCTTCTCTGCTCCTAGGTATTAAATAAACTTATTAAGTTCATAGTTATGATGAGCAAGAGTGCCTCTACCAAAATTGTGAATTTTATGGCCCCAGGGTCAGGGGTTATGGTGTTAGGGCGGGGCTCTATAATGATTATATAGTGAAAATACATTACATCTATTACATCTATGAAAATCTTTTTCTCTAATTCTGGGTAATAAGCAGATGAACTATTTATTTAGTTATGATGGGTTCCTCTTCCAGAATTGCGAATTTCAAGGCCCCTGGGTCAGGGATACCAAAATGGGGGGGGGGGGGGGGGGCTCTACTTATATACTGAAAATGAATTGTTTGAAATCTACTCCTTGGTATTAATCAAGTAATTTTGATAAGCAAGTGTGCCTTTTCAAAAATTGTGCAATGTGTAGACTTAGGGTCAGGAGTTCATGTGTGGTAGGAGCACTCCTGATTATCGCTGAATTGATTAGTTGACATACATTTTTGTTCCCCTACCCTGCTTATGGGTATTAAGTAATCAAACTAAACAATTGCTAAGTGTAAAGTTATGATTAGCAATGGTGCCTCTTTCAAAATTGTGAATGCCATAGCATCTAGCTTAAAACATAAACCAAATTCAATCATTTGAAAGTTGTTGCATGATGCTCAGGTGACCTATAAGGCCCGTGGGCCTCTTGTTCATCCATGAATTGATACATATATTGTACCGCTTTGTTAACGAAACTGATTAGTTGATTGCTTTGAGTGACATTACCTTTGTAAAATTTTGATTAGCTGGATGTAATAAGTTATAATACCTTAAAACCGATTCTTACCTTGGTAAGTTTGTCTAATGGTCTAATGTGCCCTGTTTCAAGGATAACAACCCCCTTGGCACGTAAAAGATCTTTTTCTGGTTTTCAAAAAAGAACAGGGTCTACCAGAAAAACTCAAAAAACTCTTTCAACCCTGTACATGTCTTTTCATCAGCAAAATATGGCTGAAATATTGCTGACTCAACATTAAACAAAATCATTTTACCTTGGGATCAATTGATTGGATGGACGTTCAGGTCTGTATTCTGGGTAAGCCATAAACAACATTTGAGGGAAGTTTGGTTCAAAAAAAGCACCATCTGTGAAGCGATGGCGTCGGGATCGTATATGATACACATCTTCACATTTTGGACAGTACACTTTTACAGTTTCTTTTTCAATGTGCTCAGAAATTCCTGTCAATAACAAAAGTTAAACAATGTCAGTACTTCACCATCAAAGACTCATGCAGAAAGTTTAAACAGACAACTATACGAGGGACAGTCAATATTTTTTATTGAATTAGAAATTTAGCACATTTAGTACACAAGCTACAAAGTAAAAATTTAGGGTAAAAATGTGACAATGAAATTTAAAAAGGAGCTAGTGAAAGTTTGATTTTAATCAGACCGGGACACTTCATGACCAGCATACAATGTGATCGAGTTGATTGCTAAAATGTGTTTGTGTTTGCACGGAATTGTTACAATTTTTCACAATGTTAATTTACATGGGAAACCAGAAAGGACAAAAAATATTGATGCCCTGAATACATTTTCTGAATTTACCTATTGGAAGCACAAATTGTCTCTCACAGCTCACAAGTGGACAGGTGCCAAACACGCCATCCTGCCATTTGTCTATCTAAAAAGTCAGATTCAAACAAACATGCAATGGTCAGCAAATGTCACAAAGTCCACTTATTTTTAAGAACAATTATTTTCATTCAATGCCATTTGAATTTATTTCAGTTAAAGATTGAATTGTTTAATACTCACCATTTTCCTGATTCCTCTGTCAGTCAGAATGTACCTGGCATGTATTAAGCCATACAACAACTCCGCTGCTTCTTCCACAACATTCTCTGCTTCAGAATCGTTTGAGAGGTCTGAATCATCCATCATTGAATCGCGTACTGAATAGAGTAAAACAAGAATACTCTCAGGAGACAGTAGCTCTTCAGTTTGTAATTATACTAGTCTGCAGGAGACTGTAGCTCTTCAGTTTGTACTTATATTACTGCAGGAGGCCTTAGCTCTTCAGTTTGTTATTATACTAGTCTCAAGGACACTGTAGCTCTTCTGGTTTGCAATTATATAAAGAGTATTTTAAAACAAGAGGTCTCCAGAAGAATGTTGCTCTTCATTTTTTATATATATAATAAATGGACTTTAAAGAAAAAATGAATTGCATTAAATGTATCCTTGTTAATATTTATATGATTATTGCATTCTTCTAAAACCTCAATTTTTTAAGGTACATTTTGTATTCAAGGTTCAATCAGATAAGGCCACTTAAGCCTTTGACTCAAGTAACTTTATGAAGTCTACTAGTATAAAAAGTCATTCAATTTGGACTAAAACTTTAGTAGCAGTGTTTTGGAAGTAATGTACAGAAATTTCTATTTGTAGTGACCATGGCCACAGTGATTAGCAATTTTCAAAACAAAGAAGCATTCTGTACCGTTATGTAATCAATCTTTAAACAAAGTTTTACTGGAATTCAATCAACTATAGAAAGATTAACAATTTGAAAATTGTTTGAGGAGGAAAAGACAGACAGACAGACGTCTCCCCCCTGTAATATGCTTCTTGGTCTTTTTTAACATTGGAGCTAAAGAGCAAATATCCACAGGTGCTTTACATGTTTAACTTTTCTTTTCATAAATAAAAAGTTCCCCATACTTCACCATGGGAAAATTTTAATTTATCTATGAAAAGAAATAGTAAAGTATGGGGAAAATTTTATTTATGAAAAGAAAGGTTAAAAAACGTCAAACACCTATGGAAAAATCTTATACATTGAAGGCAAGAAAACAGTTTAGTTCCATCACAGGTAATATCTAAGGGCGAAACGATTACACGTGTAAACGGCGACGTTTTGATTAAATGCTCTAAACGTTTACAAATTGAGTAAACATTACATGAAGGTTAATATCAATGTCTATCAGAAAAAAACCTCTCATCCAAACAAGTTGTTTTATTTCATTTTTACCAAAGAAAACACACTCTGTGTCTGTTACAAACATTTTTTTGTTATAGCTGATACCGGAAACGCAATATTAAACAAAACTATCTAGAAACCAATATGGTCTAACATATTTAATTCCAATTTCCAAGTAGTGAAAACTAGCTACGTATCATTTTATTTTTCCAAGTATATGTTCTATAATAAATAACCCCTGTTGTTGCTTTTTATAGATTAGAAAATATAAAGTATCATGCTTATAACAGTATAATGTTGAACATAGAGCTTTGAAATATTGAACGTAAACCGGAACCCTCAATGAGCTATCGTATTATATTTTTATATTACTGTCTTGTTTCAGTTTTTGACACTTCGTACTCTTTCGTCATAAAAACCAACATATAAACAGTAACGATAACTCATACTTACATTATAGTGAAAGAATGGTTTATTAAATTAGTGTTTCATGAGTAAGTAGCCATAAAAATTCAACACATAAAATTCTCTCGTTTAGATGGTACCATTTCATTTACTGCTGTTCGTTTCAATGTTTACAAAATTCAGTAAATTTCACCCTTAGTAATATCTACAACAAGTATCCTTAAACTCCTTGGAGTTTGTCATGATGCCAGCTGACGATTCAGCTAATGATAAACATAGGTAATCAAAGATTACGAAGCTCACCTCGACGAATGTTATCAGTTTAATAATGCAAATCTCACATCATATTTTCTTAATATTTAGTATTTATCCCAACAACAATATTCTTGCAAGTTGTGTTTAACCCCTTACATGGCACATACACATTTCTACATGTGTAGCATGAAAAACATGTAGAGTGTAAACAAATATTCATATTACTTTGTTAATACTGCAGATATCAAAGACTTCAAGTTCACTGGGATTGATCTGTTCCCAAAACTTTAACCAGGTCTCTTGTATTGAAAATATAGGTCACATCCAGCATCTGAAGCAAGTCTAATAGTGTCCATCCCTAGATGCATTTTCCATGCAAGTTTGGTTAAGGTAGGGCTTATACTTACTTGGGAATGAAAATATAGGTCAGATCCAGCATCCGAAGCAAGTCTGGTAGTGTCCATCCCTAGATACATCATCAATGCACGTTTGGTTTAGCTAGGGGTTATAGTTACTTGGGAATGAAAATGTAGGTCAGATCCAGCATCCGAAGCAAGTCTGGTAGTGTCTATCCTTAGATGCATCATCCATGCAAGTTTGGTCCCAATAGGGCTTATAGTTCCTGTGGAATTGACTTGCTCCAAAAACTTTAACCTGGTCACTCATCTAGAAAATGTACCTCAGATCCAGCATCTGAAGCAAGTGTGGCAGTGTCCATCAAGGATGCATCATCCATGCAAGTTTGGTCCATGTAGGGCTTATAGTTCCTAGGGAATGGACCTGCTCCAAAAACTTTAACCTGCTCAAAAAACTTTAATCTGGCCACTCATTAGGAAAATGTACGTCAGCTCCAGCATCCAAAGCAAGTGTGGCAGTGTCCATCCCTAGATGCATCATCCTTGCAAGTTTGGTCCAGGTAGGGCTTATAGTTACATGGGAATGGACCTGCTCCCAAAACTTTAACTGGGACGCCGACGCCAATGCCGGGGGTATAGCATAAGCTCATCTCGACTTTGTCGAGGTGAGCTAAAAATGTGAAACCTGGCAATGACCTGCAGATGATGATCAATAAGGGATGTTTTCACAAAATACTCCAAGACTGAGCTGACTCAGAAACTTGATTTTTTTTTTTTACAAACTTTATCATGTTTAGCACTTACTACAATCCAAGTCCAAAATGATGTCTAGAGCACATTGGAAGTGCCAAACTCGTTGTCTTAGTCCATGTAGATTAAATTCATCGTTAATGAAGTCCTCATCAACCTGTAACAAGAAACACCTGATGCTAATAACGTTTTTAAAATACATCTTGAAATTGATGGTGCTGAGAAAAAACTCAGATATCTGAGGATTCAAGGACAAAATACTTAAAGAATATGTGGTTTGTACTTCCACATCACCTCGACATATCTGTGGTATTCGAAATATCTTAGTTAGAGATACCAAAGTTCAACTGTTTCTGATGTGCAGTATTATGTCGAAGATTGATCGAGGTGCAAGAATTGCATTGAAAGTGTTAATTAACTGTGCCTCAAAAATTAGATTATTATAAGTTCCACAAAATATTCTTTAACCATGCTAACCGAGCACTTTTACTTTGATAAACTGATATAGGCATGTTTAATCTCATTATAACAGTGTATTATTTAAAATTGGAATTATTCTGATCATTGGAATTTGGGGTTTTCAAGAAAAAATCCCTTAGTTAGACTAACTTAGACAACTAACAAGAATTTCCATTGCATTTTGTGTTAGTATTTGACTAACTTAGTTAACTAACAAGAATTTCTATTGCAAATTCTGTTATATTTGACTAACTTAGTTAACTAACATGAATATTTCTTATAAAATTTGGCTTAGTTTTAGAATGTAAGTTTTTTATTCTATTTATTTTATAATTATTTTGTGTTAATTTAATTTATTTTATTTGTTTCTGGAATGTTGTTTGTGCTGGTGTTCTTTTTTTTTTTTCTTTGCATGCATTTTATTTTTTGGACTTAACCTAAAGTCAAGGCTTAGTCAGATTTTTGTCAGTATCAGCAGGGTTAGTTAGCGCACGCGTAAAATGGGGTTAGTCATGCCAGGCACAACTAACCCCCTACTGCGCCTGCGCCGCTACTTTCTAATCGTAGATTATGATAAAAAACGTTCAAATTAACATCCCATCGTGAATAATGTTCAGTAAATACTCTCAAAAGATTCCAGAATCCTCACCAGCTTGCGTAAATTTCAATGTATTTCACACTCAAACGCCGAGGAAGGTCGGGTCAATTCGTTGCCTCCAATTTTTCACTAACCTTGCAGTTTCATTCGAAAAATCCCATCCTTCGCGTCAACATTGCCAAGAAAATGCTGTAGTAAATAAAAATATGTTAACAATAGGAAAACATGCTTTGAAACGCGGAGAAACCACAGGCACCTGAAGTATGGATAATACCCCCCCCCCCTTTTTTTATGAAAAAAAATGTAAGAGTGTATAATATCTCAAAAATATAAAATTTCCCCGTCAAACACATCTATATGTCGTTATATGCAAGCAGATTGTACTTTTTCTCACGTTTAAAGAATGGCCTTATTCGGTATAATAAAAATACACAAGGTAAGAAACAAAAGTTGTAAACAAAAGGGGAACCCCTACTTCGAGACAGATTACCAAGGTAATAATTAATGTTACCTATCATAATTTTGCAATCACTCTGTCTGGGAGATGTTCTTTGATTAGTCTCTTTAACCTAAACCCCGCTATTAGCGTTTGATATGCCGTAATCAGACGATTTATTAATCGGATACATAAAATTTTCTCCATTGGCAACGTTGAAGGAGGTTTTGGAGCTGTTTTTCTGTTTCGCCTTATCTGATTGGTTAGATATTTAAACTGTATTATAATTAGCCAATCAGATAAGGCGAAACAGAAAAGCAGCTCCAAAACCTCCTTCAACGCTGCCAATGGAGAAAATTTTATGTATCCGATTAATAAATCGTCTGATTACGGCATATCAAACGCTAATAGCGGGGTTTAGGTTAAAGAGACTAATCAAAGAACATCTCCCAGACAGAGTGATTGCAAAATTATGATAGGTAACATTAATTATTACCTTGGTAATCTGTCTCGAAGTAGGGGTTCCCCTTTTGTTTACAACTTTTGTTTCTTACCTTGTGTATTTTTATTATACCGAATAAGGCCATTCTTTAAACGTGAGAAAAAGTACAATCTGCTTGCATATAACGACATATAGATGTGTTTGACGGGGAAATTTTATATTTTTGAGATATTATACACTCTTACATTTTTTTTCATAAAAAAAGGGGGGGGGGGTATTATCCATGCTTCAGGTGCCTGTGGAGAAACACGAAGATATGTAGCCTCCTTCGATCTAAACACAGCCAGTGCAGACACAGCTCGGCGTCACTTCCGCTGTGACGTCAGATTCATTCGTATTCAATCGTAGCTACTCGGCTATTTCCGAAATCCTCTTCGGGTCTTGTTCTCCTATACGGAAAAGGACGAGTTTAATCCGACCGCCCCTCCACTGTGTAAAAGGAATATTGGGGTTTCATTTGTATTATTCTTTGGACAGTGTTATTCAATATTTTAGAAAATGTTAATCAATAAATATACATAAAGTTTTGTGACGAGATTACTTCGAAACACGTATATATTAGATTTAATCCACAATATTAACGTACCTTTCTTTTGCAGCTTAACGTTACATCACAGGTAGGCTGACAGGTATATAACCCTGTCTCTCTAATTGTTCACAAAACTATTTGTTCGTTTTAATGTTGAATTTAGTTTTTTCTTGGTGAAGGTAATTTATGTACAGATGTAATAATAATTCTAAAAAACATATTTTGATATAGGAATAAAAATCTTGTAATGTGGGAAGACACCCCTTTATGATAGTGGACACATATAACAGAATGTTTACGATACTACAATAAAATTCCAAAATTTAAGCTAAAACTAGCCTTTCTATTTTAGAATAAGAGGGTACGGATTTTTTATAAAGGTTTTGTTTTGGATTTTTTAATAGTAAAGCTTTGTAATATGTCACAGAAGAATGTGTTAATCAGAACAGTCAAAGAACCCTTGGAGTACGGAACACGGAAAAGGGGGGGGGGGGTCACGTCACCAGGCACATGTGATGACGAGTGCGAAACACGAGTCTATGCCATTCGTCCATATAAATCAGGATACTTCAACCCAATCCATAATAAACATTCAAATAAAAAATTCAATAACTTTCTTGTATCATGTTCAATAAAACCTCATGTCACATAGTCTTTGCCATTCAAGTGACTGCATGGATAATATCTCCTTCCTTACAGTATTTTAAATATACACATTTTAAATGAGAAAGGACGTAGGATTTCAGAAGTCCAGCTTAATATAAACACGGATTGTAAAGAAATTCACAGAAAACCTGTGAATATTACAGAAGAAAAATTCGAAATTCAGGTGTTGTTCGAAAATCAAGAAAAAAGATACCCGTTGATCATTTCACATATTCGAGAGCTGTGACATTCACGACAAATCTGTATCAGGGTCAATAACTCTAAACCAGTGGATGAAGTACAGCTGCACTTTATTCTAGTTGAGCAAAGAACACAGCAGAGATGGATTATTCTGCTAAAATGCTATATTACAATAGGTGTGATATTTTGATATATTTCTGTGTGTAATTCATGTCAAAAACTTGATTTCTCGTTGCGATTGGTCGAATATTTGAAGGGTTCCGTAAAAGCATTTCGTAGTTTGTAATACGCACTGTAATTTGTTAAAGACTTATATTTCACTTGCAGAAATTTTGTCTTTGTACATAACAAAGCCCATTTCATTCTGTAATTCAGATTTAATATACATGTAATTTAAAATGATGAATGCCTAAACACAGCCAGTGCAGACACAGCTCGGCGTCACTTCCGCTGTGACGTCAGATTCATTCGTATTCAATCGTAGCTACTCGGCTATTTCCGAAATCCTCTTCGGGTCTTGTTCTGCTATACGGAAAAGGACGAGTTTGATCCGACCGCCCCTCCATTATGTTAAAGGAATATTAGGGTTTCATTCGTAATATTCTTTAGACAGTGTTATCCAATTGTCATGTTGTAAATTTTGAATTTACCGGGTGGCAGTAGTAAATTTTGTATTTACTGCCACCCGGTAAATTCAAAATTTACAACATGACACAATATTTTAGAAAATGTTAATTAATAAATATACATAAAGTCTTGTGACGAGATTACTTCGAAACACGTATTTATTAGATTTAATCCACAATATTAACCTACCTTTCTTTTGCAGCTTAACGTTACATCACAGGTATATAACTCTGTCTCTCTAATTGTTCACAAAACTGTTTGTTCGTTTTAATGTTGAATTTAGTTTTTTCTTGGTGAAGGTAGTTTATGTTCAGATGTAATAATTATTTTAAAAAAATATTTTGATATAGGAATAAAAATCTGGCAGTGTATGGAGACACCCCTTTATGTGACGAGTGCGAAACACGAGTCTATGCCATTCGTCCATATAAATCAGGATACTTCAACTCAATCCATAATAAACATTCAAATAAAAAATTCAATAGCTTTCTTGTATCATGTCCATTAAAACCTCATGTCACATAGTATTTGTCATTCAAGTGACCGCATGGACAATATCTCCTTCCTTACAGTATTTTAAATATACACATTTTACGTATGTTTGTTCATAAGAAAGGACGTCGGATTTCAGAAGTCCAGCTTAATATAAACACGGATTGTAAAGAAATTCACAAAAAAACCTGCGAATATTACAGAGGAAAAATTCGAAATTGTAGAAGGAAAATTCAGGTGTTGTTCGAAAATCAAGAAAAAAGATACCCGTTGATCATTTCACATATTCGAGAGCTGTGACATTCACGACAAATCTGTATCAGGGTCAATAACTCTACTGTAAACCTTTGGATGAAGTACAGCTGCACTTTATTCTAGTTGAGCAAAGAACACAGCAAAGATGGATTATTCTGCTAAAATGCTATATTACAATAGGTGTGATATTTTAATATATTTCTGCGTGGAATTCATGTCAAAAACTTGATTTTTTCTCGTTGCGATTGGTCGAATATTTGCAGGGTTCCGTAAAAGCATTTCGTAGTTTGAAATACGCACTGTAATTTATGTTAAAGACTTATATTTCACTTGCAGAAATTTTGCCTTTGTACATAACAAAGCCCATTTCATTCTGTAATTCAGATTCAAAATACATGTAATTTAAAATGATG